TGTGTGACATGTAGCTCAAAAAATAATGAACCAATCTTAAAAAACCGAATTGATTATTGTTCGTTATTCAATTGGCTTCTATATGAACCTCCAATTGGCATAAAAAATGAATTTTAAATGCATTTTTAAGGACAGATAAGTGAAATAAAAACGGTGAAAATCGATGGCTTTTTTTCAGACTTGCGAAATTTCTTCAATTTTCGATTTTTTTATCTAATTTGAGGTTCATATAGAAGAGAAACTTATAATAAACGTAAATATTTTTGATTTTTTGATTTTAGATGGAAATTACGACCTGTAGGCGTCACACAAGCGACATGTTCATGCGGCGGACGTTCACGGGTTACGGCTTATAACGACGCTATTTTATAAGAAACAGACTTGAAAAAATTTGAATATATACTTGAAAACATGTACAATATGATCTAATAGTTGGAATAAATAAAAAAAAAAAAAATCCACCCAAAAAAAAATCGCAAAAAAACATGAAAATTCAGGCCTCTAAACCTATTTCCCCCCTTAAGGACACTTTTACATTGCGAATGTGAGGAAGCGCTCGTGCGATTTCCACGCGGAGAAAATATATTGCTTTTTTAATATACATTCTTTTCGATTTTATACAATATTTCTAGTAACGCAATAATAGATTATCGGTAGGAATTTATTTTACTATGTGTGTGTATATGTATCTATATATGTGTGTGAAAAAGATATCTAAAATATAAAAAAATATTTATTCGCTGGATACAGCTGATGGTGCAGCTTATAAAAGCTTATAAAATATAGTATTATATAGTATAATATAGTATTATATTATATAGCTTATAAAATATAGTACTCAAGTAACAAAATATACATTTTCTTAAAATTTCTAGCTCTTTTTCACTGAGCGAAAAATTATTTAAAAATCAACAAATACTTTTTTGATGGATTAACATATTTACTTAAATCTAAATTCTCTTTATTTAAATCAAATATTATTTACCTGATTTAAATAAACAATATTTGGTTAATAAAGAGAATTTAGATTTAAATAAATATGTTAATGGCACTCATCAAAGAAATTTTGTTGATTTTAAGGTAATTTTTCACTCAATGTTGGATAAATCAGATCTAAACCAAGATCGAACTTGCAGGTTCAACAGCGTCGCCTTATCTTCGAGATCGACAAGAGACGATATTGATACGGTTGATCACACGATATTTATTAATGTTAGCGCTAATTATGAAGACGCCTCTCCTCGCCCCCTCCTGTTTATCTGCGGGTGACATGCCGCTCTGCACCCGTTCGAAAGTCGTCTCTGAGATTCTCGACAGTTTCTCTGTCATATTTCTGCCGTGTTAAGGAAAAAAGTGATTAACTACATTTGTGACTTAACCACTTTTTTTCTTGGCACGGCAGATTTGATGGCCTTAATCCTCCATAAGCAAAATTAATCTCTCGTTGTCGATCGAGAGGCGGCTACTCTTTCTTAGGTACGCGTGATACTTGTCGTTGGTGATTCTCGCGCTTAAAATCCGAGTAAGCCAAGGACGCGATTTCCGCTACGTTTCTCACGAAAGCAAATATACAGAAGTTTAATCTACAGTAAAAGCTTTCTCCCTCGCGGAGATGGCTTTGTTCGCGGATAAATTTCTTCAATTGGGCGCGATTTCTATAAAATGCCTCAATTTTGCGCAACGACGACGACGGCGACACGGAATTGACTCGCTCGACAATGCACTTTTATATCCGGCATAAGCGGTTTCAATGCGTGACCGATCGGCGGAATTTTTCGCGGTGCATAATTTCGATGATATCGCGTTTCCTGATCCGGAGCACATATTTCGCTGGCGGAAAATAATAGTCTCGCTGGAAATTGATTACCTATATCTCCGCGCGATGTCACTCGCTGAACTTTTTAGAGTGAAATTTCACTCGGAAAGTAGAGTCACTCACTACCAAGTCACTCGAATTCAAGTGATTTTTCATATAGAGTGAATTCTCTACTCTGAATTGAGTAAATATTTTCACTCGAAATTGAATAATCTTGATAATGCTCTTCTAGAATTTATAATGAGATTTCAAAATTATACATTTCAAAATTATTATAAAAAAAATATTATTTTGGTAAAAATAACCACATTACTCAAAAGAAGAGAAATATATAATCCATTAATGTGCCCAAATGTACTGAAATTTTATGTTGATTTGAGCCATTTATTTTACTATGGAAATGAGATCTGTTGTTTATAAAGAGTATCATTTCTACCAATTTTGATATTGCTCTATCGAGTAGCGTTGAGACAATTTAAAAAAATCGCAATTTATGCAAAATTTTTGCAAAATAAAATTAAAAAACGCATGTTTTTGGGGCTAATTTTTTCTTCTTCCGCTATTTTCTCCATAAAAACGTGTTAGTATCGCTCGGGAAAGTGTCTAAAACGTGTTAGTATCGTTCGGGAAAGTGTCTCAAACGTGTTGCCGACATTTTAACTTAAAAAATATGCTATGGGTATTTTTTCAACAAACATGGCGATACCAAGTGACGATTTGAAGCGTTTAATTCGAATTTTTGTTTATTTTTGGTTACCGAAATTGTTTTACCATGTAATTACTATGTAAATTACTATGTAATTTTGTAGTAATATTGACCCTAAAACAATTTCGATAACCAAATACAAACGAAAATTCGAATTAAACGCTTCAAATCGACCGCCATTTTGTTACTACCATGTTTGTTGAAAAAAATACCTATAGCATATTTTTTAAGTTAAAGTGTCGGGAACACGTTTTAGACACTTTCTCGAGCAATACTAACACATTTTTATGAAGAAAATAGCGGAAGAAGAAAAAATTAGCCCTAAAAACATGCGTTTATTTTATTTTGCAAAAATTTTGCATAAATTGCGATTTTTTTTAAATTTTCTCAACGCTATTCGATAGAGCGACATCGAAATTGATAGGAATGGTATTCTTCGTAAACAACAGATCTCATTTCTGTAGTAAAATAAATGGCTCAAATCACCGTAAAATTTCAGCACATTGGACGTTAATGGGTTAAATAATTACTTTTCTCAGCAGTAAAATAATATTTTTCTGTGTGTACGGAATCAGAATTCACTCTGAGCTTGAGTGAAACGTTCATTCGTGAAACGTTCTTACGATTTCGAGTGGCAGACTTTCACTGTCACTTCGACTGATAATACTGTTACTTTTCACTTGTTTTGAGTGAGATTCCAAGAAGTTCAGTTCAGTCATGGACGTAGTACACATGGACCCCGCATACGGCCAGAAAAGTGAAGCCAATATGTATACAGCCCCTGTATTCTCTGTCTCTTTCTGCACAGACAAAGTGCAATAAAATTTAAGTAAGACTTTTACTTGCCAGTCTAGTCGGGGGGCTGTTGCGCTCTATAATATTATGGAAACGAGAAATAGATGCACGCAACAAAAAAGTGACAAAATAGGAAGAAAACTATAGCCCCTTTATTCTAACTCTCTTTCTAGATGTTGGCTTCACTCTATTAGACGACGGAACAGGTCATTCGGAGCCCATGTATACTATGTCCATGAGTTCAGTAATAGTCTGAATTTTTTCACCATCGTGCTCGAATGGTGGGATTGATCGAACTGCACATAGATAGAATCGATTCGCGGCTAGGTACAACGACGAGGCGGCATCTGGAGAACTTCTCTGAGAGGCGTTGACGAATACGTGTCGCTCGATAAACGCGATAAGATCGCTTTATCAACGTGCAGGCTGCGCCTGCAGAGAGCGTGAACGCCTCTTCGATTTGCAAGTGCACCTGCGCGGATCAGGCTTCTCGACTTATTGCCGTTGAGGGAACGAATTCGATGATTGTTTGCGAGGAGGGCGTGCACGGGAACGACGGGGATCGCGAGCAACGTCGCAAAGACGCATTGCACCGATCGTGCTTCCGCTCGGATTGAAGTCCTTTATCTTAATAAAAAATGGATCAAGAATTCTGATCTCGACTTACGATCTGCCGATATGTTCGTTTTATTGTTTTCGAAGGTCGATAAAGGATTCAAATATATTCGTTGCAAATAAAAGTACTAACGTCACGGCGTGAAGTTCCGGAACGCTCGTGCTTGGTTGTTATTTTAAAAGATTCGCGTATGAAATTACTGCCGGTTGTGAGAAACGACAAAGTGACAATTGAGAAATACCGTTCAGCGGAGAGTGACAGGCCGGAGAATAACGTTAGCTGTGTCTCTTTTATCTTCAAGGTTCTCAAGAGTGCAGCGCAGCGAGTCGATGTGAGGCGGAGAAAGAATTAGCCGCGATCGGCGCGATGTCACGTCCCTGCATCGTCGAAACCGTCGTGCTTGTCGTCGCCTGATTTTCACGCATCCGGTGAGTTATCGACCACCAACACATCTCGTTAACCCAATTTCGAGCGAACGTCGAGAGTACTCCCGTGGTCTCGCTTCCGCGACGTTTCTCTTGGCGCGTGGCGCGGTAAATCACTCCACCTAGAATGGACCACCGAAACATTAATCCTCCGCCTACAATCCTATAAATTTATTAGGACAAACCGTATAGTCTGGGTCTGCCAGACCCGAGAGACTTTGAACTACCACAATTTTGTTGATATTTTTGAATTCTTTTTTTCAAAAACTTCAACTATAACATAGTGACGTAATAAAATCAAGTCTGCAACAGATTCGCGCTAGTTTAAAATTTTCCCGGACCCATTGTGAAAATGGGCGAGCGACCGAATATTTGTTCAGGCTCCGCAGACCCAACATTGTACGCGGAGGCTTAAGTCGAGTTCGAGGCTTTTCACAACGAAATCGTCAAGTCGTGTGTGCAAAAATATCGAAACACGCTCTCTTATGATCGCGCGCGAAGGATAACTCTACACATAGAAAAATATTATTCTGCTACTAAGAAAAGTGATTATTTGGTTTACTTCCTTTCTTGTAAATAATGGTTATCCTCAATAAATAGTATTTTCTTGATAAAAGTCTTAAAACATAATCACAAATTTGAAAAAAGCTTATTGTGATGCACTCAAGAGAGAAATTTATTTTATTTGCAAGAATATTATAAAACTTTATCGAAAAAATAGTTGGTTTGACTCTGTGTACATTGAGAGAAATATATATAAAAATAAAAATAAAATATTTGGTGGGTACTAATAATATATTTACTTAATTCTAACTTTTTTTATATAAATAGAATAAGCAATAGCTTTTATAAAAAGCTAAGATTTTAAGGAAATATATATTTCCTTATTTGAAAAATATTTTATATTAATATGAGTAAATATGTTATTAGTGCCTGCTAAATAAATACTTTTTATTTCTTAATGTTTTTCTTAGTGTAGCAAGCAATCCAAATTCTTGTTGTAGTTGTTGAAGTCAGGTTTTCATGTTATGTTTAGCATGACATATTTTTAAGCAAATTTTGATAATTTCTTTTCGTATTTCTCTTTTGTATTTCTTTATTTTATCATTCTATTGTGATAAATATGATTGTAGTTTGATCAGTCATAAAGGCCTCGACATTGCTGAATTTCGTGATTTAATATACTTAAAGTTGCTGTAAAGTTCACGTACGTTTATCGGGATATATACCGGGAAATTGGCGATGTCGGTGCGCGTATACGCCTCTTGCATCGCGACTCCGATAACGCAATTCTGCGTTTTCAACGCGCATCAGCGTCTCGCGAACACGCATGCACGCACGTACGCTTGGATCTGCTTTTGATTGTCTACTTGCGAAAGTCGAGTTGGAGTATCGCGAGAAATCGAGAATAATGCACGCAGAAGTTAGATTTAAGTACAACAAGTACAAAAATGATTCTCTTTGTTGCCGCTGCATCACACTCTAAATTTCTTGGAGTGAGACTTCACTCCAAAGTAGTGAAAATTGCGCCAGTCGAAGTTAGAGCGAGAACTTTACTCCAAACGAATGAAAAAATTGCTCGATTGGAATGAGTTTTCACTCGTTTGGAGTGAGTTTTCACTCGTTTGGAATAAAATTCTCGCTCTAACTTCGACTGGCAATTTTCACTACCTTGGAGTGAAGTCTCACTCCAAGAAATTTAGAGTACAATACAGCAAGAAATTCACATTATTGCATGATGTAAATTTAATAAATTAATACAATATAAAAGAATAAGCAAGAAAAGGCGTTTTAAAGCTTAGTCAGATTTAATAGCAATGAAAATGACTCTTAATTGACTACTATTGTATGACTTTCTCTCTCTAACGAGTACTTTATATATATTTTTTATATCCGTTACTACCGTTTAATATTCGAAGAGGATCCAAAACGGGTCGAAACATTTATGATTTGTATATGACTTGTTCTATGTCAATTTTTGCATTGCACTATTAAATCTGCGCCTAGGCTCTAAAACACCTTTTCTTGCTTATTCTTTTTTTGATTGCACACCTAAGAGCCATTCTAATTCTTTTTGATTGTATAATACAATAAGTATACTTATTTTATTATTAAATGTAATTAAAAGAATCGCGAAGTTTTCATCATCGATTATCTTGCGTCGTGATAATCATGAAAGTCTATCCGGGTATTTCCGTGCACCCGCATCGCGCCGGCCGTCGATATGTCGCCGTCGGCGCGGTTCACGTCGTCGAGCTCACGTGAGCTCACGACGACGATACGCTCACCGGAATGACAATGACATCTGTTTCGGATTCGCCTGCGGCGGTCTCGTTATCGTTGTGCCTTACGATCGACAGATCGGACAGTGATGAGCGCAAACAGGTTCTCCTCTCGATCCATTTCAATTCATACTTCGGCTATTCTTAGCCGAATACGACGGCGGACGGATATGCGACCCGCTTAATCGTCGTCGCGGGGAGAAGGAATTACGCCTTATCGAGTCGTGAGCGCGAAAATATCCGCGTTGTTTAATTGTGACCGTGTTGTTACGCGCCGTATCGCCGTAACGCACCTTTTATCAGTATCCGTACATTTTCCTTCAATTTACACATAATCAAGAAGGAAACAATTGGTTTACAATTATTTTCCTTAATCACACATATCTATTCATTCCTTCATATCTATTCAATCCACTCTAAATTTTGTGTCGAAAATAACTCATTCATATGTTCATTCGTGGGTTATTTATCTATCTTGGTAGCATGTCAAAGCGTCTTTTTTAAAATTAAAGTAAAATTTTCCTCAAAAACGACGTCTTGGAATGCAACCCTAGTTACTAATATACCTATAGTTATCGTATCTCTCTAATATTTTGCAATATTATTCTCTCGTAACCTAAATACTATTATAATCTCCTTTCATAATTTTCTTCATTTTCATCTAACCATTACACTACAATTTCCTTATTTATCATATCTAATTATAATTTCACTCAACAGATATTATTTCTCTTCTCTCTCTCTTTCTCGTTCCCATGCTCTAACAATATTCTAAACTCTGCCCTTACCTTCAGCTGTACACTATCTTTTTATCTTTCCTCTTCCTATCCAATCTGTTTTCCTTAATTCTTCTTTATTCTTTTTTCCCTCAATTTTCTGTCATATCTCATTAGTTTCATTATTCCATTCTATATTTCCTATTAATTCCATGAAGTGATTCCTCTGTGTTTTTCTTCACTTCTTATGTCTCTTTCAATTTACATCGCCAAAAGAAAGAGTCTTTCATATCTTATATCCTTCTTCTTATTCTTTACATTACTTACTTACACATCATCTATCTCACTAGTCCTTGTATTATTCTTCTTCCTTTTATTACTTTTATTTTGCTTCCTTCTCGTTCCTTCTTCGACACCATAACCTCTATTACCTATGCACTCTTTGCGCTCTGAATCATGCTTTCCTACCTAACATCTTGTTTCGCTTTCACTTACATTATCTGCGCACTCATTCCTACATAATTTCTACTAATTTCTGACCTCCATACTTAACTCAATACACTAAAATCATTCCAAATTCACGCACCACGTTAACCAAGCATTCACACATCTGCACACCATCTAACACTAATGCTGCAATTCTAAACAGAATCGTAAGATTTGTAACTTATGTTGCAATTCTAAGTAAAGATTTTTTTACACTGTAAAAAATCTTGCGTACACAGTACGTAAACAAATGTTCCAAAAAGTCCACTCTAAATTTTGTGTCGAAAATAACTCATTCATATGTTCATTTGTGTGTTATTTACATTATATATAAACTAGTACATAATATAAATAACACACGAATGAACATATGAATGAGTTATTTTCGACAAAAAATTTAGAGTGGACTTTTTGGAACATTTGTTTATGTACTATGTACGTAAGATCTTTTACAGTGTAAATCAATTTTACGAGTAAATCGTAAAATCGTAAAGTCATAGTTTACGAAAAAAACAAAAAAAAATCGTAGATATTTACGAGTTATCATATGACATACGGCTCGCACAGAATTGCAGATCTACTCATAAGTTCTTACGAGTCTTACGAAAACAAGTTACGAGTTTTACGATTTTCTCTAGAATTGCAGTAAACTCATAAAATTCGTAAGAATTTATGAATAGATCTACAATTCTATGTGTACTGTATGTTGTTACGATCACTCGTAAATATCTACGATTTCACATAATTTACGATCGTGATCGTACAACACATAGTACGCATAGAAATGAAGATCTGATAAGTTCTTACGGATTTTACGGGAACAAGTTACGAAACTTACGATTCTGTTTAGAATCGTGGCATAAATCCTTTGAGCCTTTTATAGTAACATATCATTGACCTGACACCGAATCGATCGCGATGAATCGCACGTCGACGATTGCATCTCCGTTTATTGTATCGCCGTGGAATGCGAAGTGAAAATGAAAAAAACCGGTCAACGGGCCGGTCTCAATCGGAATTTTGATTTAAAAACTGCGTGTAATTTGCATGATATAATAAACGATGATCACGGCAATTGGGAAAAAAATCTCGGTTCGTTAAGCACGATTTATTCAAAGAAAGATCTCTTGGAGAAAAAGAAAAAGGATTTCAGATCTTCTAAATTGATTGATTGATCGTCTCTTTTTCGAAGAAAAACTTCTCAAAAGAAGTGAATTGACGTGGATTTTATTATTTATCAGTGGTGTAAGCGATTTGCAATTTTTAAAGGTCAATAAACATCAATAATGTAGTAATCGTTGAGTGTTTACGTCACCAAATGTTTCGCATTTAAACGCAGATCCGAGACCTTTATTCTGCAGTTTTCTCGTAATATTATCTCACTCTTATGAGATCTGAAATTTTTATCGTCATGGAATGACGTCTTGCTCGTGGTGGTAAACGGGGCGTACTTTCGCGAGAGGTTCTCTGCCGTCTTGGCGAATGCTCTGAGATTGTAGGAATAAAGTCGACGAATAAGAGGTCATGTCAAAAAGTCGGATTGTCTTTATTGTGCAACGAGATATATCGTGCGTCATTTAAAAACAGTTCCCTCTCTTCCGACCCCCCACGAGAGTCGGTCGCGCGTTGTTATTGCTCCTGCCATGAAAAATACACAGAGACTGTTTGTTTCCGCTAGCGCGTCCCCTCGCAAGATTGTGACATGAGAAACACGATAACGCGCTCTCATGGGACCGATAAAATGAATCATCTGGGATTCGACGCGACTCGTGCCTGCGCACGCGATCGAATTATGAGCGATGGTTTCGTTAAACGGAAATAAACGACCATCGTGCTCATAGATCGTGCGGATTGACGATGCCTTGAGACGCTCTTCTTCCTCTTTTCACTCTTGCTCTCTACGACCGAATCTTGAAATGTTGCCAGGTCTCGAAACAGTCGAGCGAAAGATCGGTCGCCACACAAGACCGGAATGATCGACCGTCGTGGATTTCCCTTGTTCGTGGTGCATCGCTACCGTAAAAAGAAAGAAAAGGAAAGAAATTAAGCAGCGCGTCGGATTAAGATTGTGTCGCGCGTGCCGCCTAAAAAATTTATCGCATCTTCCAGAGAGACACTAATGTCTTTTAATGGCTTTTAGACACCATAAAGCGATACGATATCGGGTTTATCGTCCATTAACATTTTTTGCAACGTTGAATATTGAGCCTAAATTTTGCTTTGTGCAAAATTCGCACGCGCGATTCTTTATCTATCTATACGAAGAGAGAATCTAGAGAGAATCTGAGAGAATCTTATAGCGAAAATTACTGTGGAATTTTATGAGCGAGAAGTAGATCGATATTCAACTGTAATCCATCATCTTTTTGTCTTATATGTGCCATTTATATTCCCAGGAACTGTGTTATTGAAGAATTAGCTATGTTTCTAGTGAAATTTATTAGCAAGATAAATCTTACACAAGGGAAGTACATCAGATTCACTCTTCGATTTAGAGTGAAAATATTCACTCGACGATTCAGAATGGAGGATTAACTCTGTATGAGTGAAAGATTACTGGAATTCATGTGACTCGATGTTTGCTCACTCCACTTTTCTAATTGAATTTCACTCTCTCAGAGCTCTCTAAATCAAAGATTTAGAGAGTATAACGTAAAATCAAAGTAACTCCTTTTCTATGATAAAGTTTTATAACATTCTTGTAAAAAGAATGAATTCTTCTTTTGAGCAAATGATAATGAAGCTTTTCTAAAATTTATGACGCGTGTATTTCAAGATTGTTATCAAGAAATATTCAAAGGCAACCATTATTGAAAAGAAAAAAAGCAAATTGAGTGATCGTTTCTCTTAACGATAGGACATTTTTCTGTATGTACTGAGACAATCTATTCCTGCGCATTATTAGGAACTTATAAATCTATAATATCCTCTTCGTGTATGAAACACTGTCGCGATAATCGTATTGAATATTAGCAAATTTAGATATCCGATACTGATATAGCTGGTGTGTACTTTGAATCGATGCCATTTGAGCGATATCGTATTGAAAAAACCACGTCAGTGGAGCGGATCTTGAAGTGTGACAGATGAAGAGAGGGAGATAAGTGAAAGATGCGCCCGATAAAGATTATTGACTTAATCGCGGCGGATCGTCCGATTAGCTGGTAGCGCGATAGCCGCGGAATGAAGAGCAAATTGCGATAATATCGGTCGAAAAACACTAGTTGACGTCAATCGCGGTGACTTTGTTTTCTCACATCGCCTTGCGTATCTTTGCACTTTCTCATTTCTTTTTTCTCTCCTTCTCTTTCTCTCTTTCTTACCTTCTTTCCATCTTTGTCTCGCCTCGATGTTCCTAAAAAAAACATCTTTGGTCACCGAAAAACGCGCTTCCTCGCAAAATTACGGCGTTCATGTTATCGACGACGTCAGCAGGGCAGAGCCGATCTTCAACTTCGGTCCGTCTCATTAGACTATCTCATCGTAAAAGGGAAAATACCGCTGTCGTAGTGCGCGAAAGACAGAGATTACCGAACAACACCAGCGACACTATATTTAGAACGCGTTCATGTCACGCTGAACCTTAATAGTCGATATGTGTGCTCGACTCGTGTTTTGTTATTTAAATTGAGCCTACATCTCTCGTCTGGATGAGGGGAGAAGGGAGAGTGATCTATGCGCGATGAACGTCTCGCCGACAGGTGGTACGTCGCGTTTTCAGGTAACGACACCCGCGAACAATTACCTTGTGTTCACACACACACGCGAGCGCGTATGAAGTACGCGCGTCTCGCTCCCTTTCTCTCGAATGATGAAAATCGCGACGTTCATCCCGGCGAATTTCGCAGACGCACTCTTGAGCGTTGCACAGACAATCATTTGACGAGACACGCGTGTCCGCGCGCACCACGTCGATATTTTTACAACATGTGCGCGTACGGGGAAACCCGTCTAAAAATATACGTCCACGGGGAACTCCGTAGTCGCTCCGCACTTACATCGGGGTCGCAGCGTTTTCCCGCTGCGTCGTCGTACAAACTGACCCATTTCGAGGACGTAATTCCGCACGCGTCTATCCGTGGTAAGCAGCCAGAACCTGTGATGTTCGCAGCGCGCGTGGCATAGCTCGATATTTCCGCGAACTCCAGGAGATTGATCCAATTTCCGCTTGTGACAAATCGAATTCCTGTTCCGTTGAAGAACCGATCTCGGTGTCACCGCTGCTATCAAAAAAATGTATCTGGCATTTCTTTCAAATTAAACTCAAACAAGAAAACAAGAAACATCACAATGCCCGCATCCAAAAAATATAATCTTATTCTCATAGTATATCTTTTAATATATAGGCACAAATATATAGCAAAGGATTTTTCTAGAACCAAAAGAGAGAGAAATATTCTAAATACAATATTCTTAATGTTCTTAAATTTTACCTTTTTTTTTATCCACAATACAAATCTTGTTTTCAATAGAAATTTCTTCTAAGAAGAAGGCATTCTGCTTCAAGTAAACATATTCCTCTTATTTCAAGAGGAAAGGTTAGAGTTTAATAAGATTTCTGATTACTAGTTTATTTCAGTAGAAGAAAAATATTCTTTTGATAAGAATTTTTATTTAGAATATGAAGTTACAAAAACATAAAATATCTATATAACTAGAGTTCTTATTTTCGGTGTTAGAATATTCTTTTTATGGTTTTAGAAGAATCCTCTTAGGAGCGTATATATTACAAGGATATCCATTAAGAGAAAAATATTATATTTTTTTAGGTGCAGACATGCGCCTGATCCTGAAGATTCTTACTGTTTTCGGTTTTTAAATATGAATATTTAAACTTTCATCATAAAATATGTGAATATATATACATATATTTATATATATACTGAGGGAAAAAATATTTAAAAGAAATAGTTATTCGCGTTGGATGCTAATAACATTTATTTGTACTAATATGCATATTTTTATTTGTACTAATATGCATATTGAGAAAAAAAATTTTTAGACGAGAAAAATGTATATTTTCTTAAAACAACCGTTGCTTCCCACGAAAGCAATTGTTTATTCTATTTAAGTAAGTTTATTAGATTTAAATAAATATTAATACATAAGTATTAATACCAAATAAATATTTTTTATTTTTTACATATTTCTCCTCTAACAATGTATTTATATTTTATGTTGAAAGTTTAAATACCCGTATTTAAAGACCAAAGCGATAAGAATGTCTAAGATTAGGTATGTGTCCGGGACTTTTGTCTTACACTGCACTCTGCGTCCGATGACCTTCTGACTGAATCGATTTGTCGAAAGAAACACTGCTCTAACGAAAATACGCGTGTTCCGTTTGTCGCAGGCCCGTAGCGCATATTTATTATTTATGAATGGATGGAGCTGCGACGGGGATCGGAGGAAGACCGGATCTGGGAGGTCTGGAAAAATGGTGGAACAATCCGGCGATCGCGGTCTGGAGCTTTGTCCTCTTCGGCTGCTTTCTGCTCAACGCGACCCTCTTGCTGGCGTTTCTCGTACGGCCAGGACTGCGCACTATCTCCAATCGGTAAGTGAAGTAATCGTTTAATACTATTTGGTGGCGGGAGTTCCATCTGAAAGCCGCCGAGTTTTCTACTCTCGATTTCGATGAAAGAGAAAGACACTACCGCATCACTCGTCCCAAATTTTCGCTCCAAGTTTCATTCACGTCTCATTTCTTGCTTGCTTGATCTTTAATTTTAAGCTGAGACACTAACTTTGAATTATTCTGTGTGCTGCAAATCCACAATCTTACGCTTAGCATGGAAAGGGAGACTCTGTGTTGTAGTCGACTAGCGTCTGCTTGCGAAATTAGCGTTGCGTTATCGCCGATAAAAGCGACACTCGCCAGTCTCGTGAACGACGTCAGTTCTCGTGTTGCGAAGCTTCCGCAAATTCATTAACTTGACCCATTGACGCATGCGACGGTCTCTCGCGAATAGCGATCTCGAGGTATAACGAAAACGTACGAGACGCACATAAGAGAGAATCTATTTCACGACCGATTATCGAGAGTCTCTCGAGTTCGCAGCGACGCGCCAGATCGGAAATAAATCGTGCTAACGCTCGCGCGAGGGAAGAGAAAGAAAGAGAGAGGTGGTTCTAGAATTCATATGTCCAGACATCGTGTCAACTTCCACGTAATGTTCGCGGGATTTTCTTCGAGACACCGGACGATCATAAATAATTTACTGTGCGTACGGCTTATTTTGCGAACGCGTGCCGCGCGTTCGTGCCAAGGTTAATAACCCCCACGTGCACATCGAGCAGAAAGAGGAGAGAGCCGTTGCATTTTTTCCGGACGACGACGACGACGACGACGACGAGTCGCGGCGATCCATTACGCATCGAGTCTTGGCAATCGCGATAAGTCAAATGACGTAATGACATAATGACGGCAGCGTGATCAAAATTCAAATACGTAAATTCTCGGTAAAAAAAAATCAAATATCTTACATCCACGAGTCAACAAATATGTGCACGCAAAAAAATGCATATTGCGTTTATATAAGCGCGTAAATGCGTTCTGCGTAAATGTTAATTGTTTCAGGTATTTCATAAGTTATCTGCAAGTTATCTGCAGTTTATCTATATCATAAAAAAAAGCTTCAGATTTATTCAAATATATTCTGAATCTTAGCAAATTTGCCATTTCAATCAAGGATATTATACTAAGAGAAGAAATGTCTAAGAAATAGTCAATATTAATTCGATGGATATTAATAACATATTTATTTTTGCCAATGCAGAATATTTTTCAAGTGAAAAAATATATATTTTTTCTTAAATTTAAAAAATTTTTTAAGTTTTAAAAATTAAAAAATTAATCTTAGCTCTTCTCTTAAACTTTTATCTTAGCTTTTTTTAGGAAAGCATTTGTTTATTCTCTATTTAAGGAGAATTTGGTTTTAAATGAATATATCATTAGTACTCACCGTGTAAATGTTTATTTTTTTTTAGATATTTTTTTCTCAGTGTAGATGAAAACAAAAATTCGGTTTGCTTAATACGTAGAGGCGAACCAGTTTTTTTTTCGATAAAGTATAAATTTTTTTGATAAGTATTCTATAATATTCTTATATAGAATATAAATTTCTTTTTTGAGTACATGATAATAAAATTTTTCAAATTTGTAATAAGTATATCTGAAGATTATTACCAAAAAAATATTCTTTGTTTATTGAGAGAATTAACTAAAATTATAGTTATTTTTGGTCTTAAACATATTTTTTTGTAGTAAAAGTAATAGTATTAACATGCATATCATTTGATATAGTAAGATTCAGTAAAAAAATTTTTATGTTCGTATTATAGTGATTATTTCTTTATGAGATTATAGTTATCAGACATTTTTTCTCAGTGAAAAAAATAAATTATTTCAAAGAAGAAAAGTAAATTGAGTAATCGCTTTTTTGTTAGCAGTTAGCATTTTTCTTTGTGTACGTTCTGCATACTTTCTACACGTTGTTTTGCCGACTGAAGAGGAGAATCAGAAAATATCGCGGAAAATATCGCGCGTGTCTTCGAGATTAATCGTGACTTTCGCATGCACGTTAAAATGCACACCTCATTTTCTCGCGCGTAGTTTTCTCTCACATGTTCCGATGTCGCGCGCATATCTTCGGTAGCAGGAAAATTATTTTCGTTCGCAACGCTCACGCGTCCTACGTGTCCTTCCGCGGACTACGTGGACATATATTTTGCATCGTGCTCGTAAATAAAATCGCATCTGAGGTGTCGTTCGGGTAGACTACATTTTCTCGTGTTCTCTCGGTCTTCCTCCTCCTCCTCCTCCTCTCCTCTTTCTCTCTCTCTCTCTCTCTCTCTCTCTCTCTCTCTCTCTCTCTCTCTCTCTCTCTCACTCACTCTCTCGTGGGACATTGCCAGCCTAAATATTCTAACTTATGATCTCGTCATGTCGTTAGTGGGCGCACGCGCAACGCGCAATGCGGAAAGATGAAGGTAGGTGCATCCTCGTAGTTTTTCTTGGAAATTCACTCGTCACGCTAGGATGACCCACAGTTTATTTATACGCGACATACAAAAATAATCGCGTACGAAAAAAAGAAGAAAACGTAGGAATGACTGACGCGTACGCGCGACACATCTTTTGTTTACTGTGAAAATAAAATTCTCCACACATTGGATTCTGTCTATCGAACCGTTTCATGAGGCTGTCTTCTTCGCCTTGCCAGACAGCAGCAGCAGCCTGTCATATTTCCCGAAAATTGATCGCTCGTAAACAATTCATGAAAATAATTGCCAGCTCGCGCTTATGCAACTCTCGTTTATTGAAATCTGATCGGGTCAGGACTCGAGTAACTGATTTCCACGAAAGCAAACGTTCGCGATTGATGTTAGAGCGTTGTATTATTAATAGTCGCGCGCCGCATGACGACCGGACCTATCATTGTTATTGCGTAGATATTCACCTGCTGAGCCGGGAAATCGGCAGCGCCGAGTCCTGGCAAGCGCTGCAACCTATAAGTGTAATAATAAACCTTCGTATTTCGAGAGTGCCTTCTCTCCCTCTAACGTTCGCTGTTAACAACGTTAGAAGGTGTAACGGTTCGCCGCAAAAAGCCGGAAATCGATCTGTCGTCGTGCGTTTGACGTTTCATACAAGATCAGCGCTGTGTCCCGGGCTATACTTAGATCAAACGCGAAGGACCACGCGCACGTGGTACAAAACTCGAAGCGATCTTCGCCGGGTACGCGATGCTTGAGCGAGCCGGCCCGTCAATCAGTCCGCTGACAGCGGCAACAAGCGAGACGAAACACACCGTGGGATCCTTAAGTGCCGTCCCGCGAGAAATTCGTTACATCGGCGGAAATCGCGAGGATAATTCGGGAGAGTGAATCTTCTGAACGCGTCAAAGTGCGATTTCGGGAAATTCACGTACGCCTTGATGTTCGCGCATTTGTTATACAAAGTAACAGCGAGCCTCATAATTGATCATAGTTATGCAAGAATGCAATTCAATCTACAAAATTATGATTCTTGAGTTTTTCTTTTTTACCAATAGGTAGTCTATAAGGCTTTCTACATAAGACAAATAAGATCCTTATAGTGCCTTATGGACGTCTAAAATTAATTAATAAATAGTTTTTATTTTCTACTAGTTGCGCCATTTTTTATTAGTTGCGTCTTTTTTACCCACTTTTAAGCGTTAAGTTTGCCAATGAATACTCTTGAAGAGAAGACAATTGACCATGCTTGATTTCTTGAATGATTGCGAAATGTTATCTATACTTTCAAAATAATTTGTGTCAATTTTCAATTTTATTTTTCCCGAAACGTACATCACTCGACTTAAGCGTTGAGTTATTGTTGCATAACTACGGCCAACTGATAGCATGCCGCCATAGAAATGCATTGATATGCAATCTGCATGTGCGATAATGTTATCGCCTCTTTTTGCTTTTTATCTCTTTCTATCTATCTTTATCTTTCTATCTATCTTTATCTCTTTCTATCTATTATATTTATTGTATTTTGAAATCGTCGAGGAACCCGATTAGAAATTTATCCCCTAGTCTTGATCAGATTGACCCTAATTAGATATCTGATTTGTATAATTTAAAATATATTATATGAAAACATAATGTAATGTTATCGAGTCGTAATTATCAACAATCCTTATTATTAATAAAATCTTGATTGTCACGCTGCATTATATGACTTATCAGGATTTAATATATCTTATACAAATTCAGATAGTCTTTCGTGATTGTCATGACAATCGGTTGTGGAAACTTCAATATTTTTTAAAAATTACATTTATGAAGGAAGTGTATTGTATTGGATTGATCATTAACTTCACATCATAATTTAATGTAAATATTTTGTTATATCGACGCAGTAACAAGTTAAAATACAAGCAAATTAAAATAGCAAACTAAAAATTATGCTTAGATTTTCATATTACATTTTACATATTCTTCTGAGCAAATTTTGATCATCTTTTTCATATTTTTATTTCGTCATTCTGTGTGATAAATATGAATGCTATATATACCATAAGGAATGTAGCCTTCATCATTTGGTTAGCAAAGTTGCTGTCGAATTTGTAGACGCCTATCTATCTGGGAAACTAGATAATTGAATTGAATTAACCTGATCAGGACTGTGTAATAAAGTTTCAGTCGGGAATCATGTCTCCATCCCGCCGTTCCTGTAAGACTTCTGTAAGAAATCCCATGAGATTCCGTATTCTCTTAAAGTGAATCAGCAAATTCATCGATGATCAGTGAATCCCACTTCACTGCTTCATCTTATTTTCCACAGATTTTAAATGGTGAAAGCAAAATGTCATTGTAAAATCTGTGATAAATAAACTCCTTATGTGTTATGTCAAATCCAAGTTTCTGTGTTTATGATGACAGAATTAACGATTTCCATGCACTTCTATGTGATGACATTATCTGCGTTCGCAAACTGAATCAGTCTCTACTATCAACTGATTCTTCCACTGCGAGATTTTGCTGATTGCAGTGTTACACTTATAACTGGTAGTTCAGTTATAAGTATAGCATTTCAGTGAAGAATACGTTGATGGCACCTTGGAGACTAAGAATCTAGCGACAAACCGTCGTCGCCATTCACTCGAATTTCCCATATCCTGGAATCCAAGAAGAATCATATTGTCTCCATAGAATCTTCTTTCGTAACGTAAAGCACTGTTACTCGCATGGATTATCAGACGCTTCACTCACGCTGTACGCTCGCTTCATCCACCACCCTGATAAACGCAGGACGTAAAACGCGTCGAGCACGACATTTGATTGAAATGCGGGATGCTCTGTCTCGATTCCAGATTCGTGATGAACCTAACCGTTTCGAACTTGCTGACGTGCGCGCTGCTGAACCCGCTGCTGATGATGGACGGCCCGCCGGTCGCGGGGACAACGCTGACATCCACGTCGAACGCGTCCTCCGCGGGCGCGACGTCCGCATCGGCACCAATGTCGGCCAGCAATATCTGCGCCATATCAGAAGGCGCCACCGCGCTCGTCACCACATCCTCGATGCTATCGGTGCTGCTGATCGCCATTGACCAATACTTCGCCGTGGTGGATCCGCTGCGTTATCGCGCACGGGTGGACAAGCTCAAGTCCGCCGTGCTGATCGTCTCCGTGTGGCTGATCTCACTGGCGTTCGGCTTGATCGCGTCTTTGAACCCGAGCCCGCGTAGCCTTTGGCTTTCGTGCACGACACTCAACAACGGCAGCAACGCGTCCCATCGCGACATCCTGCTAAACACATCGTCCACATCAGCGTCGATCGACTCCGTGTTCGCGTTCTTCGGTAACAACGGCACGACCGTAGTGGAGGAGGAGGAAGAGGAGGAGTTGGTGGTGGAAGAGGAAGTGGTGAACGGTGAGGGCGCGGCAACGTCGACGTTGCTGCAATCGAGTCGTGGCATCGACCTCCTCGAGAACTCCACCGACTCCTACGGCACCTACGGCCTCGTCTACGTGCTCGTGCACAGCGTGTTCGCCTACTTGCTGCCGTTCGCCGGGGTCTGTTGGATCTACGTCAGCATTTACGCGGCCGCGCACCGAAACTCGGAGCGGACCCGCCGAACCGGCTCCAGGCCGATCCTGTCGTCGTCCGCCAGCTTCTGCGAGGATCCCTACGGTTACGCGCGGTCACAGCAACCGGCGGACGCGCTCGTCGAGGAGATCCGTAGGATACCGAAGATCTCGAGTCTATCGTCCATCGACGAGACCAGCGAGACCGCGCATTCAGCTAACCAGGCGTCGCGCAGGAGATCCTTCTCGTCGTCCTCGGACGCCGTGCAATCGTCGGCGCTGTCGGCCGATGAGAGGAACGCCACTTCGTCATCAGCCGGCGAAGTCGTCTTCACGGTGGGCCTGCAGCCGGTAGAGGTGACGGCCGCGCGCGGCTTGGATCGCGAAGATAAGCGAGCGCAGAGGGACCAGCCAATGGCGATCCTAAAGGCGCAGTTCCTCGAAGAGAGAGAGCGCGGCGTTGTGTCGTACGAGGACCTCGTGAGAAGCAAGTTCCAAGATTCGCCGGCAGACCGGCGACGGAAGTCTTCGCATGATCTCATGTACGAAGCGATGTCGACCGCGGAGTCTTCCGGATGGATCGCCGGCGACTCCAGCGAGTCCGAGTCGGAGGACGAGCGACGCTACGGTTGCTTCGACTCGCTGGAGGTGCCAGGAACTATTCGCAGGGTTAGCAGTCGCAGACCCTCTGACTACTTCTTGTCGCTCGCGTCTTGCGAGACGCCGGAACGCGTCGACTCCAGACGAAGTTCTCTCGAGAAGACCGTCATTCGCATGGACGAAGAGGAGGAGGAGGAGGAGGAGGAGGCGGGCGAGGATGAAAGAAAGATTTCAAAGACTTCGGAACGAAGCGTTGCGACGACGGTACGGGAAGGCCGTGTGTCCGACGGCTCGAGTCCCGCGGCTAATCGTCCGGACGGCAAGAGATCGAGACGATTCGGCCGCCGTTCGTCCAAGTCATCCAGTGTTTCGGACGGTGCTGGGGGAGAACTACATGCGACCAAGAACTCCGAGAACAATGTTAGGAACGCGGAACCGTCGTCGTGTCTCCTCGCGCCGATCGTGACGATCACGCCGGCGGCGCCGAACAAGCCGACCGGCCTGAACCGAGTGTCTAGTATACGCAGCACCAGTAGTTACATTAACTCCCTGAAGCATCGGATCAGCAACGGTTCTCTCTTCAGGTATCGCGAGGAAACGCGGGCAGCCAGGATCAGCGCGCTCGTGATTGTAATGGGTCTGATCTGCTGGTCGCCCTACGTGCTGTTGAGTGTGATAAAGAACTTGCCGCAGTACTCAGACTACGAGTTCGCGCACAAGTACGACGTACTGGCGCTGAGCTTCCTGATCTTCGCCGCGTACGCGAGCCCGTTGCTCTTCGGCTATCGGTCGCGGCGAGTGAAGAGGGAGCTGCGCAGATTCTTCTGCTTCCGACGCGAACTTTCGTACAAGAACAACCGCAGCCTGATGGCGAAGAAGGTGCTGAAGCGCCGGCACAGCAGCACGCTCAGCCACCTGGAGATGGATCACCGTTACAATATCTTTAACTGCGTGTACGGCAGGAGCAAGTGGCCCAAGGAGAAAGTGCAGTTCGTGCAGGTGCCGGACACCGCGCTCGCGGTCGAGACCTGCAGGAGTAGCTTCTCCAGCGGCGCCAGCACGCAGATCTCCAGCACGTCCACCGAGGAGTGTTGAATCGCGATGTGCGCCTCGCGGGAACCGCTGCACTCGCGCGTCGTCGCGCTCGCCGCGACGCTACTTGGACGACGAGTCTCGGTTATCGCGAGGCTCGGCTTAATCGCGCGAGAAGTATGCGAGGTGTACTACGACAGCCAGCTCAGAATGTTCCTACGTCTGTGCGCGTGGTTCAAGTTCGCGCAGAGGCAGCGTCTGCGAGCGGCCGTGACAATAACGAGATAAAATGTCGCGTTATAGCGAGAAGAAGAAGAAAGAGAGAGAGAGAGAGAGAGAGAGAGAGAGAGAACCGCGGAATTCGCGTTTCTCTTTTCGTCCTCGTGATCTTTGAAAAATCTTGCAAGGGAGAGAAAATTGCGGACACGTCGCTTTTAACCCTAAATACGTGGATGAAATTCATCCAGATCAACTTCCCAAACATTATTTTTTTATAAATACATGTTTTTTCTTACATTGTTTTATCTAAAAAAAAAAGCATGCTTTTTTATTAGAACTTCCAATTTTATTGAATTGTAAAAATATCTATAGATTCTCACATTCTATGTGAGAAAAAGAGGACAAAGGGAGACAGTCGCGATTGTACGTGCGAGTATTAAACTACGGGGAGGATAGCAATGTCCGATACAGTGTCAACGCACGCGCCGAATGTTTTTCCCGAACACGCAACGTGCGCGGTGAATCAGCCTTCCACGTCGGGACCGATCCTTTATCACAAATTATTGATATTAATCAATTCCGACAACCCATCCTCATCTACTTCAATCACGTACTTTACTGACGATTCTCTTTACGTTAATATTAACTTGAGCGTTGCGCAAAAAAGCTCTTCGACGATTTCCAATCAATATCAAATGGCGCTAATAAAAACTTATGAGAGTTTGACCGCTCCCTTCCGGTAATTTCTCCGAATATTACGAAGAAAATAAAAGGGTTGGGAGAAATTGGTCCATATTTAGGATTCGTATATTGTTTAGAGTGTTCTGAGGTTAAATCTTTCCTCGCGACGTGAAGCCGGCAGTTCGTTTCCTCCGGTGTCGATGCGATCCTCTCAGGTTCACGTGACCAGTGGCGTATCGCGGAGACGTGTTTCCTCCGATGCGACGTCTTGCATGTACATAATAACGAAGTCTGATTTTGCGGCGAGCGCGCCGCGCGCAGCTAACGAGCAGCAGCACGCGTTCGTCGGGGCCGCTTTTGTTTTGAGGGCTACCGCGAGAGTTTGCAAACTCGAAGGAGCCCGCAACACACACGAGCGCGCGTGTTGCCGCAACCTTCTCTCGCGTTTTCGCGTCGTGTCGACTGTTCGCGGGACCTTGCACCTTGCAACGCGAGAGCAAGACGAACGACCGGCTCGCTCGAGCGAAAACCGCTGCGCAGCGGTGAACGACGCGCGACGTCGCGCGAAGTATCCGTTAGTATTAAGAGCATTATAGTTAAGTTGTCGGGTGTTAGCTAGCTCGAGAAGTATTAGAGTTCGCCGAACCCGAAGGAGGCTTTAGTCTTTACGCTTATTCCACGCGTTGCGACGTCTCACCTCGCCCGCGTCGTGGACGTTTGACATAATTGACGACGACGACGATGACGACAACAACAATGATAATAATAATGTGCGTGTCATCGTCCGCCAGGTGGATGATCCAAGTCCGCGACGCGCGCGCGCGTCATACGCACTTCCTCGCGTGTCCCATTTGTTTCGCCGTACGCATGCACGCGAGTATCAAGTTGACCGGAAAAGTCTTTTCTCAGAAACGCTCTGAACGACCGTTGGTATGGACGAGGCGTTCTCCAAGTAGACTCAAATGCCGGCAAGTGACGTGCGCGTGTTCTATGAAGAAAGAATTCGCAATCAATCTGATGTCACCCACGAAAATATAGTCTCGTCCTTAACGGAGCCTCCTACGGCTTCAGGAGGATTCTTCTAAAACCAAAAGAAAAATATTCCAACAGTATACATATATGTATATGAACAGGTTCTTATAGATATTACTTAAAGTACAAAATACGGGGCCAATGAGAGCCTACTCGCGGCTTTTGGTTGCGAAATAATTCTAATGGTGATCGACATCTAAAGCACATTATTTCTCTTCATTGCACTGAGAGAAAAAAAGTGTTTGAGTTAATGAAACTTTGCTTGAAGGAACAAAATTCGTTCAAGCAAAGGTTCAGTCGACTAAATGAATAAGCAACTTGCAATTAGAGTTGTTCTGCTTTTAAGAATCCTCCTAAAGTCTCCAATAAAGATACCATCAAGGATGATATCAATGTGGTTATATTTTTCCGGGTGTGTATCGTCGCGGCCGCACGTTAGAAATACGCAGCATCTCATGACAGAGTTCCCCGTCGAGGCGCGTTGAGCCGGATCCGCGCTCGCCGGGGGACATATCGTCGTTCCCCGATTATCCCTTGTTTTGTACATTACAAAATGGCAAAGTGAATTCGTTTTATTTATATTAAATAATCTGTACATAGAAGAAGACGGCGAATCTCACTCCTAGCTCGTAATCGCTCGCGTGTAAGTAGAGAGCGTCCGATCAGCGTGTCCGAGTGATCCGTAACGGGAGTGTGCAACGTAAATACGCATTAATCGTCGTGTTTCGCATTACCGGTCGCGGGTAAACTCCAACAGGCTGTCTACGATATGTGATATAACACCGAAACCAATCGTCACTTAATATTAATTAATTTATGTGACTTTCTCAATAAAAGGCTCTTTTTTTGCGAGATGTGCAATTGCGCGATGTGTCTGTGCGCCGCGTGTCCCACACACGTGCGCGCGAACCAACACCAGTTTTCGCAACATCCCGTCCTGTCCTCGCAGACGCGAAGTTCGATCGCTTTGCTTCGCGTGATGCTTCTTCGAAACGTCCTGTTTATTGGAGATAGTGACATGCGCGTGTGTGAATCAATTTTGTCGCGAGTGTGTGTGTCACAGAGAGAATAGAGTAAGAATCGTGCAATGAGCTTTTGCGCACACAGAAAAATAACATATTGCGTTTAAGAAAATATTGCTTGTTTCAAGTATTTCGTAAGTTTACATCGCAATCTATCGCAAGTTCGTCGTAATGACCAAATCTACTCAAATTTCGGTTTACGCACTTCATAAAATCAAACCAACTTTTTCTCTGATTAAATAAATAAATTCTTCTTTTGAGTAATAATTTTTTCTAAAATTTGCCATGAATATATCTGAAGACTATTGTCAGGAAAATATTTTTTGTGTTGAAGATAATCATTACTCAAAAAAAGATAACCGAGTAATTGCTTTTCTTAGCAGAGTAGAATTTTTTTCTGTGATATCCTCTTTTTTTTACTTAAAATATCGAGTTAATATGAAACAACAAGCAATATCTTGTATCTTCAAGGTAAAGCAACAGTTTGTATAATGTTATATCTCGAGATTCTTCATTAGTTTTTTCAAGTTTTACAGAATTTTCAGGATCAGAAATTTGTAGAATCCACTTTTCCGGGAAACTCACGCGATTCAGGCAGTGTGCATGAAGGTGAACACTTTGCAACGCGATTTCGCGACGAAACAATTGCTCTTAAGGCTCCTGGCTAGTCAGGCAAGAAATTCGCGTTGACGGTGGCGACACAGCCATCAGTGGTAGGAATAAGAATTTCGTTCATCATATGTATAAAGCGAATTATGTATGTGTATGTGTGTAACAGCTACCTAAATTTTTCCGTCCGAATCACGGTGTTATTACTGACTGTAGTGCTTATATATCACACATAACACAATTGCGGAAGTGTCAAAATACTCCGGATACTATGCTTTTTGTAATATTTTAACTATAATAGTACTTATTCTATCATATTCCACACCGAGTCTCACAGCTGATCTCCTATCAAAATAAGCTGATTTTTACACGTACATTTAGCAGTGTTGTAAAGGTTATTTCGGGAAATGAACACTACCCGGAGCGTTTTACGAGTGTGTAGGATCGATTGCAAGTGTTACTTTGTTAACATATCTTTTTATTTTGCAATGATTCGGACGCAAAATTCGTGTGCAATTTCTCGCTTCTGACGTCATCAACCAATATGGCCGCGGTGACTAGCCAAGAGCCTTAATAATAATGATACGCAGTTTCGCAAGTCTCGACACACACATATCGATCGGCGAAGTACGCGAAAATAAAGCACGTCTGGCGATTAAATTCTCGATCGCGAATGAAGACAGATTTCGCTGGTCTAACGCGCTGTTGTTAATTTTCGCGACGTGCAACGATAATTTTCCCACGATCAATTGATCAATCCGTAGCTGACGTTGTCGAGTTAATGCTGTCGTGAGAATCTGCGTAGCTACGCGACTCTCGAACGTCAGGCCGAAAGACGCGCGGGGCACGAAGCACTATTTACAGAGCTACTCTTAGGAACGACTCCTGCCGTCGAGTCGTCTCATAATCGGGAACTTTCATAGATGGGTGGTCGTGACGGAAACCGCGGCAACTCCAACGTTGGCATCTGGCCATCGTCATTAGTGAACATGCTATTGTCGTACGCCGGCGGGGCCGTCTTGTCGAACACTCTGTCCACCTGCTGCTCCGCCTCCACGGGTCCGTCCATTAGGAACATGGTGAAGAAAAACATGATGGAACCTGCGGAGGAGGAAAGAAGAATATCAAGTGACAGCGAGCCGATTCGCGATAATCACCATTAAGAGAATCGCGGAACTCGTCGCGGCTTCCTCATAGAAAGTCTGACGATCGCGATTGCAAACGATTGCGAACGATTCCGCTACGTGAGTGAATCTCCCGTTCTGTTACTCACTGATGCCGTAGAAACCCGCGTAAAAAATGTACAACGACTCCCGGAAACCGATGGCCAACCTGGTGGGCTCGACGAGTATCGGCAAGTTGCCGCCGATGTTGTTCATGACGAACAGAAAGACGCCTATAGTGGTGGAGCGCAGATTCAGCGGCACGATCTCCACCACGACGGCGAACACTATGCCGAACCACATCTCGGCTGCGAAGGAAACGACATGTGTATTGGCGAGTTTCATTTCTTTCACTGACATCTGTTCTTTTCCAAAGAAGTTATTGAACTTATGTATAGTGAGTTGCAGAACAGTTTGGACGTGATCAAGTTGATCACCAAACTATCAAAATTGAGAGTGACTGATAGGAGTTTGTTTGTCTTAATATATAAATTATATTATTAATATTATTATTTATTATCATTTACTGTTCTTAATTATATTATTGATTATATCACTAATTATATTTTTATTACACAAGTTCGTCCGCAATGGCTTTCAGTTTTGACAGTTTAGTGAGAGCCTCCAATTTTATTATGTCCAGTGGCGTAGCCAGAAAAAAGTTTCGGGGGGGGGGCTGTATTTTTTATTTTTGACGAGCGTAAAAAAAAGGTTATTTAAAAAAATTGTTCTCACACTTCTACTAACGTACTACACACTTACTAGCGTAATCCAGAAAATTAATTTCGGGGGGAGGCTGCAGCCTCAGCCCCTCCCTCTGACTACACCACTGATTATGTATAAACCATTCTGCAACTCACTGATGCAATAAGTTATAGAATGAAACAAGCATATTTGTTGCACACAACTCTATCTTATCGCAGCAGTTATACCAGTTCAGGAAGTTCTTCAAGAAAGAACAAACTTATCGGCTGCGTTTAGCAGAGAAAATTGCTCTACAGCTGTTGTAAAATTTGCAAATCTGTGTGATTGGTACGTGACCTTGGATTTAGCTAGAATTAAGAGCATACAGATTCACAAATTTTATAACAATTGCAAAGCAGCTTGTTTCGCTGAACTCAATCGTTTATCTGAGTTTCTTATTTAAGTCTTATCTATGTATAATTTGCGTCCCTTCGGGATTTCGCGTTAGTTGAGCGTTCCGAGGTCGCTCCTTACCGAAGAAATAAGAGAATCCTAACGTGATCATGGCCCAGAGGGGGTTGAAATATACCGAGCCAAAGGCAGGCGGCGTCGCGATTATTTGGCTGATCGCCAAGCAGGCCACGCGCGACCTGATTCCCATCTTCGCGACGAACTTGTCGCTAACTATCCCGCCGACCACGACACCGATGCTGCCGATGACGATCGTGACGGCGAACAGCCACCAGCCGAGATCATAGTCCGGGAAATATTCCCTATAGTAGAGATCGCAATTGTAAGCGAAGCACATGCCACCTGAAAGAAGAAACATTCGCGATTTGATCTCGTGTAGCGTACATGTGATTGAGAAAAAAATTGCAATATAGATCGAAAACTAGTCATGTAGTCGAGATTACGACGATTTAAAGGGAGAAGCGAGCTGAGGAGACCTCAAATCATTTGGGAACTCTTAAGTCAAGGAATTTCAATTAAAAATGGCAAGTGGAAGAGATACTTGATGTTCAATCAATAATAAGGTGAAAAGGACTTATGTATTAGGACCTTAACTTAGTTTCCGCCCGCAAATGTTAGATGGCAATGCAAATAGTTCTAGTAGTCATTACTAACGAAACAGGTAGTTTGTGATTAATTTCGACATTTCTCGATAACATTCAGTCAGCATACACAATTATTTTCCTAAACAACAATTTCTTTTGCTTTGTGAAAAATGGAACGCGAT